CAAAAAATCAGTTAGGCCAGCAATTTGGCCCGCGGCCCGCAATTGTTTTAACCCGCAGCCCGCAAAAACTGACCCGCAGCCCGCAAAAACTGACCCGCAGCCCGCAAAAACTGACCCGCAGCCCGCGGCCCGCAAAATAGCTAGACCCAGGGAATTGCCGTTTAAACTTTTATGGTTTAGAAAATACGTGCATGGAGAAACCCTCGCCTTACTGATAAAACTATTATGTTTTCCGAACATGAAGTATTGGAAATAGTTGTCATGGTAACATAATCATTTTATTAAGAATAGTTTTAATTAAAATTGAAAAATCTCGCCAACATATCACTGATTCATTTTTAATTACAAATTTGTCAATTTCCCAAACTAATACATATATGCTAGGTATTTTATTAGACTATACATTTTTATACGTAATATACTGTAATCTTGAATTTAGAGTAATATTGAAACGCAAACGCGTCGCAAAACGTTTTGAAATATTCATAAAACTAAATTGTCTTTTATTGGTAAACGTTGAGTTTGAAATAAACTGATTTCAAATTCTCGCATGAAAAAAGCTTGCTTCCTCTTTATTTAAAGATTTTAATACAATAAAAAAGGGTAATTAATAAAAATACTCTGAAATTATATGCTGTCTTTTTTCATTTATATACGCAACGATTGTATACGTTTTTAACTTAATTAAAGCAATTATAAAGCAAACAATACATCAATATTAAAAACAAACTTACCTTCGTTAACTTCGGCGTCTTTGTTCCCTTCTTTTAGACATCTTTGGGCTTTTTTTTTCTCAAATTTATTTCTTTATATTTATTCACTTTTTTTCTTAATTTTTTATTTTTTTGTAAATTTGAAAATTAAAAAAATATCAGTGAGGATGACCACCCACAACGGCGGTGAACTATAGCCATGCGCCCGCAATTATTGATGAACTTTAGACTTCGCTAGTGCGTTCCTTTCCCCGGGTGTAAATAGCCGGGCGGAATTAGTACCACTCGCCCTGGGCTTTATTATTTGTGTTACTGAAACTAAAATAACTAATTCGACTGAACTTCATTTGAATTAACGTTGAAATACCGGGTTATAAATTTGAATATGTTCCAACACCATTAGCTTTGGGAGGTGTCGGTATATATATTGACAATACCCCAGTGGCGCCGTGGGACCCATGTTTGGGAGCCAAGGGCACTACTTTTCCGACAAACCGGAAAATATTTTCCGACTGAAACGTCGCGAAAATTTTTTTTACTGAAATTTTTCTTGACGAACCCCCCCCGTCCCCAAAAAAATTTCGGTCAGTGTGCCATTTTAGGGGTCAAAAATTTTTTCCGGACATCCCAAAATTTTTCGTTACATCTTAAAATTTTTCCGGACAACACCAATTTTCTACATTTATCCGAAAGTACCAACGTTGGAAACTTTGACGATTTCCGACAACGTTGACAATTTTCCAAAAATTTCCGACAACATTCACAATTTTCCGCCTGGTCTCCACAATAGGGGGGAGCCATGCCCACCCCCTGCCCCCCCCCCTGCCCCCCCCCCTCAGGCCACGGCGCCACTGCAATACCCTGGAGTATGTGTAAAAAAAGAAAAACATTCTAATGAATTAATAAGGCTTTATGGATAGAAATAATTAATTCTAATAAGAAGAATATAATTTATGGTATTATTTATCGGCAACACAACAATCCCGATCGCCTTCTTAATTACCGAGTATAATGGCAACATCAAATCTGCCTTGGCCAGGTTAAACCCCTATTTAAATAATGTGCTGTACTTTTCCTCCTTCAGTGCTTGTCGAATTGAACCTAATATGTACTTATGTGTGAGCTATATATATTCAGTTCCACCATCTCGAGAAAACAACCTAGCTCCGCACAAGAGGCAGCCAAATATACCCACGAGTATATAAGAATTTTACCAACCGTATGCAACGGTTATCAGCTCTTGTTCACTGCTCCAGTATCCGCCGTCAAGGATGAGCGAACTTTCAGCAAACTGAAGATTGTCAATAACTGCCTAAGGTCAACTATGAAAGAATGTACAAACGTTTGCATGAATCACTTGATCCTAGTGGCTTGTGAAAAGGATCTCACGGACAGTATTGATTTGAACGCTGTATTGCCCACTTGGGCCAGAGTTAAGATTCGCAATTTTTGAATAAAGCCAACGAAATAAATACTGTTAACATTAAATTTCATATACGTGACAATAGCGTTATTAAAGCTAAAACGTAGGACTAGGGATCGTGTTACTGCAAGACTTTCAAATAAAATCTTAGCCGATTTGTTACATCTTTCAATTCCATGAATTCCATCTTTTATCAGCATTGGCAATAACGGATACATTGCAACCGAAGTGGTGACAAAAATCATGGCAAAAATCATCTTTAATGTTTACCTCCAAAATTGTTTCTTATTAATACTCACTTTCAAGTCTAACCTGCGATCAGGCTCTACTTTACAAATAATAGCCTGACACAATCCTTAATCCGATCGCTTTCCACCCACAGCAAAGTTTATATTTAGTATCCAATCAAAATGTCGCAGGAGAAATTTAAATTTCACACAACGACAACAACAATCTAATTATAGTTGTGATCACTATAAATATATCAACGACAATATATAATGCAATTAGCACCAACCAATCAAATGACAAATTAAAAATCTTTTGTCTCATTAACCAATCAGATTTACAACCGAAATACGGTTGTAAAAACATGGACTTTGTTACGATTTGTATCAGGCCTATTTATTTATTTCAGCCTGATCGCAGGTTATTTCAAGTCTTGCTATTCGTATGTCTATTTTGTTTCAGATTTGAAAATTGGAAACAAATATAATTATATAATTTTGACAAACTACCAATTTGATGAGCAGTACAGTGCAGATAGCAATATATTCTCGTTAGGAATAAAACACGGTTGCATAATACTTGTTTGAAACGCTTTGTAAGAGTCATAATATGAATTAGTATAAATTTTGCATATCAAATGAGCTTTCGCGCGTTCTGACTGGCTAGTTGACTAGTAAATCTGAGGCATTATTTACCACCTGGGTAGTAAATAATGCTTTTCAAAAAGATTGATTCGGAAAATTTGGTTTCAAAATCGACAAAATATTGAAAAAATCGTCCCCAGAAAACGAAAGAAGCACAAAATGTTGTATTTAACTTGAAAGGTAGGATTCCTTTATTATTTTACTGTGTCAAATATATTCACGAACAATTTAAAACTTATTTAAAACACCGAAACATTCACTTCAAACAAATAGCAAAAACCATCCCGACTGTTCGGAAAAACTTTGCCGTGATATTATTTAAAATCCATTTTATTTTGTGTCCTATAGATTTCCCAATTTGTACGATACTATTTCTTTTGATATGTCATGTTTTCATTGTTTGTTTTCGAAAATTGTAAAGTGTTATTAAAACTTTGTTTCGAACGATATAGTTTTACATTTCATTTTACCAAATTCCTCAGCCATTTCCAGAAGAAATTAACGCTAAGGGGCGGACCATTAGAAATCCCGTGAGGGGGGTGAAAATTCCCCCAAAAAAATTCGTGCAAAGAAAAATGCCTGGAAAAAAATTCGTGCAGCCATTACGTCAGAGAAAAAAAATTCGTGCAAGCAAACAGCAAAGTACAAGTAGTCTTGAAAAAAAATTCGTGCAGAGGTTAATTAAATGCATTAAAAAAATTCCTGCAGAGACATGAGACTGAAAAAAAATTCGTGCCGCAAACATTTTATACCCCCCCCCCTCCCGGGATTTCTAATGGTCCGCCCCTAAACAGAAACTATTTTTAATTCTAAGTCTGGTGAAAGAGTTATTCCGTTATTGTGTTTATATTCCAAGCAGAAATCGAGAAAAACAACTTTATAATAAAGCAATAAAATCACACAAGAAGCCATTATGAAAGCGTGTGCGGACAAGAAACAGTACAACACTATACTAATAGTGAACAGGCCGAAAATAGTTTTATTTCTGAAATTTAATTGAACTGATATTCGGATTTTTTGTCTTATTCATTAAACATTTATACTAAAACAATTATTCGCCTCTGGGTCAGTGATTACGGTAAATATTCACCTCGACTTCGTTTCGGTAAATATTCACCGGTAATCATGCACTTCGCCTTCGGCGAATAATTGTTAAATGACATAGGGTAGTTACACGTTTTTCAGTATGGTTGATAATCATATACGGTATATATTGTACAATATCAATGGACTATACCTAAAACGCTGCAGGGCATGATGAAATTTGGCAGGGCAAATTTCCCCTGGCTTCGCCCCTGATACAACTGCTTTTACACATTAGGGCCATTTATACGGAACAAAATAAGACGCGACTTACATAAGACGCGACTTAAGTAAGACGCGAGTTTGTCGTATAAAAGGTACGGAATTCTTATGTAAGACGCGTCTTGGATAAGACGCGTCTTACATAAGAACAGGTCTTTTAGCTGTTCTTATTTAAGTCGCGTCTTAAATAAGAAATGTTGGGCAAAAGTCTGACTACACATGCCAGAAACTTGAAACAACGTAAAATTATTAGCCTTGCATATATATTAAAACAAAAACAACCAAAACAACATTATAGCTATAGCAAATAAATAAGACCAAAGCCGTAGAGAAGTAGTATAGGAACTGCCGGTTCTAGACCACTAGTTTTTCGTTCACGTTTTCATGAACTTTCTAGACCAACAGTTTTTAACCGAATTAATTTTATATTTATATACTTATTTTATTCCTCGAGGGAACACACATTCTTTTTATGGATTTGAATAATACTAGTACCCTACAAGAACTACATCACGTCGATTCCTTTTACTGCTTCTCACAAGTGCCACACCCAGCGTCTGTGCCTTTAGGCTCATTAACATTTTCAGGTCCTCCTTTGATTCTGGGGGTAGTATATCCAGGTTGTTCTTTATGTGATTAATATCAGGTACAATTTTTGTTAACGGTTGCAGTTTTTTGAACTTCCACCTTTTAGCAGGAATCACAACCTTAAGTGGTGGTCTGGGGTAATACTTATCAATTTTTTCTTCCACTCTTACTGGTACACAGATAGGTTCTATTTTTTCTTCGATTACCTCTTCAACCCTTTTTTTTTCCGATTGCGTGGTGTCCATAGGCGTAACTTGTAACTCCATCTTCAAGTAAGTATCTTTTATCATCAAAACAGCTAAGAGTAACCTTCTTCAATTCGTAAGTTCCAATTGTATGCTTTACGCTTCTGATTGTGTTCATATTATGTCTCATCCTACCTTTCGTATTAATTACATTCTTGAAGTTCTCGTGAGTGAGCTTGTTTCTGATGACATACTTTTTAACTCCTTTGGCAGTCATTCCACCTCCACCGTTTTCCTTTACATAGGAATACATTTTTGATCTCAACCCAACAAACTCAATTACAGGTACTCCCTCAGCTTCATCCTTAAACTTACCTATAACCTTCTTGTTATGAGCTGAGTAGTACGGAGAATCTTTTGGGTAATCTGAATTATCCCAACAGTTTTTCTCTTCACCGATTCTCTTGAAGTTCTTATAAACATCATCCGTCTTAAGTTCATACATTAGACTGTCAGTATCAGTGAACAGTGCCTTGACCTGTTACCGTACTCCTTTTTGATGGTGTTGTAGTGGAAATCATACATTAAAGTCTTGGATAAGTCTAGGATGCTCATTCCTACATAACACGGCTTATTTAGCGTTAAAACTTCTTTCATCCGCTTTACCACTATAAGGTTCTCATTCATAATTCTATGTGACTGGAAGCACGGTGATGCTGTCAGTTTTAGGAGGTCATCTTCAGAGGACACTAATTTCACATCAACCCTTTTCCTAAGATTTTCCATAGTCTTTCCTTAGATCGAATTATTCATCAACTTGAAGAAGTTCTTTTCGAACGTGTTACGAGCCGCAGACCTTTTCTTCGTATTGAAGTCTATATAGTTCCTAAGCCAGGGAGACTGTTTGAATGTAACTGCTCTGTGGACCTTTGTGAGTTTCATCCCAAGGTCTGTGTACAGTTTCAGATTACGTATATGTAAGACGTAATTTTTCCTTGGACCAAGTAAAGTTACTAGTTTTCTTACTCCTCCAAGTTTCAGTTCGAATTTCTCAGCAATACTTTTTGCATAATCTGACAACATAGAAGCACTGATTTCCTTACTCTCCGGTGCTAGAGGATAACCGTTATGTAGATCGTGAAGTTCTTGTGGATATTCCAGGTCGACCTCTAGAACCATCCCTCTTTCGCTGTCCTCGAGGTAATCATCCAGATTCATACCGTCAACTTCCTCAACCCACTCAAACTCTCCGTTAGGTAGTGGTTGTGACATTGCCCAGCCATATAAATTATTAGCATCGAGGTACATTAAGTACTTGTTCTCAGATGACTCATCGTACGTCTCCATGTACTTATTATTAGCTGTGGAGTGTCTGTGAGCAATATAACTTGTACCACCTCTCATACCCTTCTCGAAGAACTGAAACATATCCATATCGCTTACAAGCTCTATTTCTTCACCTGACTGTTTTAGAAAAGCGTCTCAACTTAGACTAGGTGCTGACATGTAATGTGCAGGGTCAAGTTCGTAATTTTCCAAACATGTTCTCCTAAAGTTTTCAAACACATCAGCCAGCAGAAGAACGTCAGTCTCCAAGTAGAGATCGTGGTAGTCTCTCATGGTTTTCATCTTGAAGTATCCCATACTTTCTGAGCTCTCTGGTAATCTTCTTCCTTCACCTCTGACTCATACAGTGATGAGTAGAACTTATCCTTACTCGGTAGACCTTCGGTATCAAGTTTGCTGATATCATCGAGGAACTCATATGGGAACACTCCTTTTTGTGTCACTAGGTTGAAGTCCTCACCTTTCCACCTCTCACCTACTATCCTGAAGTCCTCAGGTAAAAGGTTACTCACCAGTGCTTCCAATGAAGAAGCCATGAACTGTATAGAGTCTATGAAGACAAGATTTTTACCCAGTGAGAATGAGATGTATTTTTCCATATTATTTGGAATCACATTAACGTCCATCTTGAACTTACCAATTTCCTGCATAATCAGATGACTATCGTAACCTCTCAGGTTGTGGAAGACAACAGGTACTTTCCATGTAATTCTGTATTTCAGATTACATATATTGTGAGCGGCTCCACGATACAGCCCAGCTACATGATCATGGTCTCTTACTCTATCCTCACCAAGATCGTTACCACATATTGAGCAGTTTCTTGCAGCTTGAAATTCGAATTTCTGTCTGGGTGTAATTACCATCTTCTTCTTGAATATATTGTTGACCATCTCTCTACATCTGAAGGACTCTTTTAATACAGTCTTTAGGAAGACCAGTGCAGCATCCTCTCCAACGTAACTCTTATACTCACCGGAGTACTTATCATCATAGTGGCAGACTGTTTTCAAACCAAAACTACAAGCCTTGTGTGTCTGGTAAAGGTCTGTACTACTTTTGTCCTCAGAGTGTTCCGACTCCACTTTTCTCTCCTCTGGTACTAGTATTGACTCAAAATCAGCGTATATCACAAACGGTACAGGCATTGAGTTCCTGTGATTTTTGAACTTGATTTTTGTCCCTTCTTTGGGAAGCTTTACAGCTTGAGTTCCATTTACCTCCAGACATGTCTCCTTATGCTTATCCAGTACCTCTTTGCTCACACAACTATGAAGACAGTGTAAGCAGAAGTGTTGTTTATGTTCATGTTTACTTACGCTGTGCAACATTCTATTAATATCCTTTATGAGAACATAATGATTGTTACCTTCGCTATCACCTAGTAGTAGAAGCTCCATATGCTCGTCATATTTAGCCTTAGAGTTTCTTATGGGGTAGAACTGTTTCTTACCACTGTAACCAAACACAGATATGTTTATACTGTTTTTTCTCTCAATTTTATCAATATCACTTATCTTCACGGGGAAGTCAATACCCTTGTAGTCCAGGTTCGTTATGAAATCCCTGTCTTTTTGTGTGATAGTGGTTGCTCTCCTGACTTTTGGTCTCAGATGTCTTACATGACTCCACAGGAAACACAGGTTGTCATTGTTCTTCATATTGATGAGTCCACACCTTGGATTACTAATGTCCACTGGAAGTTTTATATAAGAACTTCCCTTCAACGGTTTGTACATTGCAATGTTTACGTAATGACTCTCAATATTGAGTATAATCCAATTTGAACCTAAGTTTTGGAAGGTTTCAATTCTAGACAATATTGTCAGTTGGTTTTGAGCAGCAGTACTTTCAATATCCTCGAAGTTAGTTACAGTACCAGTTTTTGATTCGAAGTAGACCGAGTCCTTTTTAGTTTTCCCGTTACCAATTTCTTTTGACATTCTCACCTTTATAGTCTCCGTGTACTTTAACCCACCCATTCTCTTCAACTCATTCACAAGTATTCCTCTCACTACCTGTCTACTTGCAGTCATCTGGTCCAGGGGGTCCATATAATGAGGAGTTATCGAGTAAGTCACAGCAGCTCCATTTGCGGCTGTTTCAATTTTCCTGTGGAATGGCTTTTCGAGGTCTGTTCCAAATGGATCTATTTCGTGTTCCTCTGGTGTAACCACTATAGGCTGCTCCTTAACTTCCCTCGACACTCTTGCAGGCTTACGTAACTTAGGAGCAGACACTACTTTGGTGGTTCTAGGTTTAGGTACAGGTTTTTCCCTGAGAAGCTTGGTTCTAGGTTTTGGTACAGGTCTTTCCTTAGGAAGTACCATTCTAGGCTTAGGTACAGGTCTCCATGGAGCTACACCCTTAGGCACCTCAGGAGCTTTCCTGATGGGTCTCTTATTAAGATCCACGTGAATTGTGAACTTACCTGGACCTGCCGGAGTTATGACACTATCTGCAGGTACTGAGAGTTTTACCTTCCTCTGGCTCAGGAATCTTTCAGCTACAGTTTGCCTTTTAACCTTGACATCAGACTTTGCCTTTGGTGGTCTACCTCTCTTTTTAGGAATCTTCACTTCAGCATCAGACTTTACCTTTGGTGGTCTACCTCTCTTCTTAGGAATCTTCACTTCAGTATCAGACTTTACCTTTGGTGGTCTACCTCTAGGACGCTTGATCTTAGGGTTCCTCTCGTTCTCAATCCTCTTGATTTCCTCATTTACCTGAGGATCATCCGTGCGCCATCTACCTCCCATCGTTGGTGGTAATCCTTGAACACCCTTGGACAGTAAACTTTGGTATGCCTCCTCTACAAGTAAGGCCCTTGCCTTTTGCCTGTCAGAGTATTTCCATGTGGGCATAATCCCCCTTCTTCCCTTATAGTTCAGGGGAAGGCGTCTGGGTTTCTTTACCTCCATATCACGGTCAACTTCATCTACGAATTGTCTTTCTCCTTCAAAGAGATCTTTGCCCTTATCGTCAGGTGCAATCCTGTAGTTTTTGCCGGCCTTGATGTTCTCCACCCTCGTATCCATATCGTCATCACTATCTATAATGCTATTGAGAGCTAAAAGTTGTTCTACACTGAATTCGTCTAAGTTCAAGTAACTCGCCATATTTTCTAACAGTTCCTATATACTATATATGTAAAAATAAATTCGGGTATTTAATTATTAATTTATTTCGAATTTATTTTTGATTTAATTTATTGTTTAATTCTATTGATTTATTATATTAATATTTCTTTAAGTGTTTTTATTTTTGATTTAATTTATTGTTTAATTCTATTGATTTATTATATCAGTATATCTTTAAGTGTTTTTATTTTTTATTTAATTCTATTAATATTTCTTTAAGTGCTTTTATTTTTGGTTTAATTCTATTGATTTATTATATTAATATTTCTTTAAGTGTTTTTACTTTTCCAGTTATTATAATATTCACATTTCTCAGGTTTCCATCCAAGCTCAACAAAAACCTTCCCATACAACCTATCCTCAAGGATGTCCACAATTTTTTGAGTCTTGATGTCCTCGGGAGGGTTCCTCAAGGTGATGCCGTTCATGCTGGCTATCCTCAGTAGGTAAAACTTGTATCTAACTATGTTGCGCCCCCTTTGCAGTCTAAGTCTTTGTATACATCTTACTATGCTTCTAAACTGCTCCCTTATTATGTCCCTATCCCTAGAAGCAACATGTTCGAATAAGTGTCTCTCAAACCAACGGACTCTATTATGACAAGACTTCTTTTTCAGGTAGTCGTCCTTGTTGTAGTTGTAACTAACGTAGTATGTGAAGTTATTCATATCACTAGCACCACACTGTGTGCATGTATCTGCTCCATCTATCATTACTATAGACTTACTCCCACATTCACTACATATTGGATCATATGTGTGTTCTCTCTTTATTCTGCTCTCTGCGTGCTTCCTCACAGCAGCCTCTAACTCTTCCAGTGTATTTACCCTTTTACCTACATGTGCTATCTCCTCAGGTGTTGCCATCTGTAACCATTCCATTTCCCTATACTATATATGTGAAAATTTTTGTGGCATTTTTTATAGCATTAAATAAGCTGCCCTTCCAACCACCCCACCTGTAATTAAACCAAAGATTGCCATATATTCTTCCATTTCAGAGCTAGGTTTGTAGTGATTACTTAATTGTGGCATTCTTGGCATGGGCTTATGTGTTAACTCATTGATTCTTCTAACGAGTTCCAGCGACTTGTTCGTTGAATTAATATCCTTATTTGCCTCAGCTAGTTCTGACTTCAGTTGGGCAATTCTATTTCTTCTATCAGTGACTTCCTCAAGGTACTTCTCTCTTTCAGCTGTTAGGTTCTCCATTGCAAGGTTATGTCTATGAGCTTCCTTAGCATATCCATTGTTGTCAAACATTTTAAATAGGTATCCTGCTCCTGCAAATGCATTAAAAAGTCCTCCTGCTACTGCTCCCGCCATTATATAGTCTTACCTAGGTTTTGAATGGATCATCTGGTAGATACTTCTTTTCTTTCAAGTAAGAGACCAGTAGAGATGAAAGACTAACTGAAATAGCTAACTTCACCATTCCCTTTACATTCTCTGGGGTACCTAACGGTTCTTTTAATAGTTTCTTTGATGCCATTGATATACCAGCTGCTCCTGCTGTAAGTAACACTGCATTGTACACTTCCATAGTCATCTTTGATTCTTTACTCATCTTGCTATAGTATATGGTATGTTTAATGTATCATTCAAGTGAATCTAACTTGGACTCATCAGCTTTCTTAGTTACTTCTACAGTTTTAGGGATGAACTCAGGTTTTAGTTCCTTAGTTTCCCTCTGATGCGTTTTATATGCTAGCACTAGGGATATCAATGCAATGGCCACTCCTATGTAGGTAATCATACTGTCGTTACTAAGTAACTCGTTAGGTTCAGCCAGTTTCTTTTTCCTCTCCTTTGCTATTCTACTGATTGCAGCTAGTCGTTTCCCTGCAGCTACTCTTCTAGGGTCCTTCTTCTTTTCACTTGTTACTGATACTTGAATTTGCTCAGGTTTATCTTCCATTCTACTTGTAAGATACCATAGGTTTAACTTGGTTTCGTCTTATGAGATATCTTAGATTTACTTGTAAGATAACTTGAATTTACTTGCAAGATAACTCAAATCTACTGGTGAGATAACTTGCAAGATGTCTCAAGTCTACTTGGCAGTAAACTAGTACTTGTGTGATGTGAACTTTTGTTTGTACAACTTTACATCGCTAACTACATTTTTAACCACTTTTTTCTTAAGTGAGAAGTACTCGTTAATTCTAATACAGATTTGTATCAGATCGTCGGATATCATTGTCATGTACCCTATTTCCCTCGCTTGTAATACCAGTGCCCTTAGGAGACTTAAATTCAATTGCGAATCCTGTGTACTCCCCCACGGGGTTCTCTATAATAAGATCTGGCTGACCACCTTTATAGCCCTTCTTCCAGGCATCACATCTCTTTGACACTGTATCCTGGTACTCACCAAGACCGGGTACTATTACAGCCTTAGGGTGGTTGTTCCTAATGTAACTCACAACTGTGTGGTGGAGGTCCGTTTCGTTTATGAGGATCATCTGGTTATACCTGAGTGACCTTCTATCTGGTAATTCATATGAGCCTGTTTTACGAATAGATGGAAGCACCTCACTAAATACCCAATCCTGAAAGTCCTCAGCTATTGGAAGTCTTGAGTTGAATATTAGTTTGTATAATCCTGGTTCGTATAGTAAAATTGTTTGTGGGTGACATTTTTCTAAGGTGAACTGGCTGGGTACCCTTTGGAAGTCTCTCACCGTTGCCTTATTTGACTTCCAAACGTTGTCTCTGATAGCTTTTTGAGGGTTTGAGTACCCTAGAGATTCCGCCACATCTTTTGCGTAAAACAGTACCTCCTCACCACTCTTAACAATTCTTACACTAACATTCAACTTTTTGTTCCTGAATAATTTCTCCATCTTCTCTATACTATATATGTAAAAATTTTTTGGGCTATTTTATTCACCAGTTTATGGAGCAGCATTCCCCTAGCCCACCCAGCTGCTTCCCACAGTTGTATACTTCCTGTTACAAAAAATTATTTTTCATTTAGATTCTTGTATATCTTTACAACTGTTTTTATTGTGTCAATTTTAAAAGCTTCAAATTCATATTGTAGTGGACCTACTATTTTATTCTTGAGGGCATTATGATCGCTCTCTAGTGAATCCAGGGTTGCCTGAATTTTGTCTAGCTGTTCTTTGTTCCTATCAGTTTTCTCAATCAACTCGTCGATTATTGATTCAAATTCTGTTCCGTCCCAAGCGTTTCCCCACTCGTACGGCCCTCCGTAGTTTGACATTCTGTATTTAATAAGATATGTTTAGCTTCCTCTGACACTTCCTCAGGTTCCTCCTTCTTGTTCCACTTATGGGCAACTACATGTTTAGCTGTTGTACAACCACCAGATATGAGCCCTATGAATGGGATGTTGGGGGATATCGTTCTGGTTAGATATGCTACGTCGTCCTTCAGAAGCTTCTCACTAAGTAGTTCCTCTGATAGTTTCTCTGAAGATTCCACTGCACCGAAACTTCCTAGTACCGCAGCAAACTTTGAGATAATAAGCGTTGATAAG